AAAACTTATTTGAATTTCCATTCTCCTGCAGGTCACCAGCTTCACCACCATCGGCAAGAAGGGCACCATTCCAATGCCGTCGTCGAGCGCCATTAGCGCGCTGCAAATGAATCAGCAGCGTCAAATAGCCACCATTGAAACACCACCGAATAGCGCCTCGCTGCCAATGCAGATACCCACAGTGACGTGCGATCTCGCGTCGGACATTTCCACATCGGAGGCAGCCGACATGGAGCCGCATCCACTCGTCTATCCGAATGGCAACTCAAACGTACCGTCCCCGCTCAGCATGCTCACGCCTGGTTCACCAAACTGCACGCTGTCCGCGACGGACCGGGAAACACTGAAGGTGAGTACAATAGCGACGAGCCGCGGCGCCCTAAATGTGCCCGTGCCACCGTCAATGGCCGCTGCAGCTACGTCCAATTCACCAGCTTCCAACAATAATAACAATGATAGTGCCACGCCCATCGGCACTGATGGCGTGACTAGTGGGACGGCGCCAACAACAACTGCCACAGGAGCCTCCAATGCCATGTCCACCGGCGCGACGCTAATGACACCGAACGCGAGTGGTGGCGCAGCGGCGGCGACAGCAGGCGCATCACCAAATGAGTTACGCGTCTCTCCTATAGCAGGCCGGTGTCGCGCACTCTCGGTAGGTATTGACACCGATATGGTTAGCGAATTCGATCCATCCAGCTCCGATTCGGGTGTGGTAAGTCGTTGCGCAGTGGTAAAGCCGCTGAAGTTCCGACTATGCCAACCGATCTTCGGACGCAAAGCGGCAAACCAAGCGCGACGAAACGAAGCAAAGGCGACTGCCACAGCGGTGGCGACATCGAAAACATTGAAACCCTCCGAAGTGGTAAAAGCCGAACTGGAACCGGCCATACCAAAGGTTCAAAAACCACGCGATCCCGAAAAGGAGAAGCGGCGCATCGCTCGCAAAAAAGAGAAGCGNGCGCGACGAAACGAAGCAAAGGCGACTGCCACAGCGGTGGCGACATCGAAAACATTGAAACCCTCCGAAGTGGTAAAAGCCGAACTGGAACCGGCCATACCAAAGGTTCAAAAACCACGCGATCCCGAAAAGGAGAAGCGGCGCATCGCTCGCAAAAAAGAGAAGCGTGCCACACTTATATTGGGTCTAATTATGGGCAGTTTTATAGCCTGCTGGTTACCTTTCTTCTTCCTCTACATCCTGGTGCCGGCCTGTGGCAGCTATTGCGACA